AAGTGCCCCCCCCCCCAAGCTAAACCTCCACTACGCCCCTGTATCATAGGTTTACATTTCACCAGGAAGCAAAGATATAGGGATTAGAAAATTGATTTTGCGGCAATGTCTCCAACTAAAAGATTAAGATAGGGAAGTTTCATAAATGTTTTTAGCTGTAAAGAGCCAATATATATATATAATGTTTTTGACAAAATTGAGAAAGTTCTTAAAGTATTTTTACTGTCATCTAAACATCTATACACTTAAATAGAAAAGAAATACTTTATTACATTGATTGGTCTTCAGAAATTAAAACACAATTTTAAAGAAACTAGAAATTCAAGGTGCTTCGCGCCCTTCTTTCTAGGCTCTTCTATTTAAATTGTGAACTTGTCTTTTTTGTTTACATTTTAAAACAAAGAAGAAAAAAATTTTGCAGATTTTTAAAAAAAAAATCGCCGATTTTCAAGAATTTAAATTTTTTTTACAAAATTAAAAACCTTTAAAACACATTATTTTTTATTTTCATCATTCATAAACCTTCCCTGTGGTCACGTGATGTCCCACAAAAAATTTGGGCCCGATCGGTTCAGCCGTTTTGACGTTTATTGGATACAAACAAACAAAAAGACACCAAACAGACAGACAAGCCAAATTTATATATTTATGAACTTTTTAAACATTTTTTCCTGGATATTTTCTATTTTGGGTTTTGCCAAGTGCAAAGTGGTTGGATAGAATAGCAATGTCTAAATGGTGAATGATAGAACTAAGTTTTTATTAAAGAACTGTCAAAACCCGACGCTGAGTTTAAATGACTTAAAATTTCCGCTTCAAATTCTTTCTTCTTTAGACATTCAATGTTTCTTTTCAAATCATATGGAAATGTTTTTTTTTGCCAGAAACTCAAATTTTCTGGTCCCTTCATCTTTTCAACCTGATAGAGCAAACCTTTGATATTTTGAGTTTAGACAGGTGGACCTAACAGAATTCAAAGTTTGAAATCTCAAAGGGTCTACGACACCGGGTTGCAACGCTACAAGGATTATAAAATCAAAGTTTGCGGTAAAAACTCAGCTCCTTTGTATATTTTTTCTACTTTACTTTGCATCATTATGTCGTGGACCTTTCATAATTCAAACTTGACTTTATGATCTAACAAAATTCAACCCTAAATATGTCTAAGAAGTATGCAAGCTCATGTCTGAGTAAGATGCAAGCATATGTCTGAGTAGGATGCAATCTTATGTCTGAGTAAGATGCAAGCTTATGTCTGAGAGAAAGATTCAAGCTTATGTCTGAGTAAGATGCAAGATTTTGTCTGAGAAGGTTGCAAGCTTATGTCTGAGTAGGATGCAAGCTTATGTCTGAGTAAGATGCAAGCTTATGTCTGTGAGAAAGATTCTAGCTTATGTCTGAGTAAGATGCAAGATTTTGTCTGAGAAGGATACAAGCTTATGTCTGAGTAGGATACAAGCTTATGTATGAGTAGGATACAAGCTTATGTCTGAGTAGGATGCAAGCTTATGTCTGAGTAGGATGCCTAAATATGACCAAAATACTGATTTAAATCACAGCTGGGGTAATCTGCATGTTAACTGTGTAATGTCTATATGTTCACATGCCTGATACAGAAAGAATATAAATGAAGCTTTCAATTTTAAATGATTCAAATAAATCTCTACATTTGATTTAAAAATGTAGATATCCAAAGATTCGTAAGTATTTTAATAAATACTAAAATGTAATGCATACCGAGAGTACATATTATGGAAGGGGGGGGGAGCTTAACCAGAAATTCTTGAAACTTTGGTTTTAGTCACGTTCTCTGCTTAATGGAGGGAATAATTTGAAATTTTTTAACAAAAATTTATTTTAAATTTTAGAGTGGGCCATTTACTAATCGATTTGAAAAATAGTGTTGGTAAATATGTTTGGTCAGAGTAAAAACTAGCAAAATAATGTAAATTTTGATTTAATTAAAGACAACTCATAAATAATATAATTTTGCATTGTGATCAATAACTATTAACTAGCATTCTTGTTGACTACTGTAAAATGCAAATGTTTGTAAAGCGGAGCCTAAAACTTTCCCAATCCCAACCCTGGATCGTAAAACTGTCCCAATCCCAACTAGGGTTTCCATTCGCAAAACTTTTGCGCAATTTTTGCGGAACGAAACGCAATATTTTTCTTTCTTTGCGCATCAATTTTGCGCGAAAAAAACAACAATTTGCGCAATCATTCGCAAAAGTCATTTCGCGCAAAATTGCCCTATTCCGCTTTTGCAAAACTCAAGTTTTGCGCAATTCCGCAACAAGAGTTTTGCGCAAATCCGCAATTCCGCAATTTCGTAAAAATCAAACGGTTGGTGACGGTGTGTGTTTCTTAGAATTCAATTCTGGAAAAATCTTATTTTGGAATGTCTTCCTATTGGTCACTTTTACATAATTGACCAATGACAATTAAGAAGAGTTCAAATCTCACAATTTTCTCGACAATTTTAGTTTTGGACATGCATATTTCCTAAAAGTGGATTCTTCAGGCATTGGTTACTTTCTTGCATTATTTTATATGAGATTAGAAAGATTTCAGAAATTTGGTTAAAAAAATTTAAGAATACAATTCATACTCATGATTAAGCAAAGCTTTTAAGGCCGGGTCACTTGAAATTATTTAATATGATTAAAATATTGCCAAGTTTCACACTCTCTAATTTCTATTTTATTAATTTTGGTCCCTTAATTTAAACTTTTTGTAACTGGAAGTAACCAATTGAGTGTAGTATAATCGTTATCATACTCGTATGTTAATATTTTTTTTGTATATGGAATAAATCTTCAGTTGTTTAATTCTAAGCTTAGAATATCAATTTTTGACAATGTGCCTAAAAAGTTACATTTTGCGTAAAACTTGCGGTTTTGCGCAAAAACTTGCGGTTTTGCGCAAATTGCGCAAAAAAATTGCGCAAAACTAAAATTTCGTTTCATGCGCAACTTTCGCAAAAAATATTTCCGGTTTTGCGCAAATTGCGCAAAATAAATAGCGCAAAACCGCGCAAAACTCATTGCGTTTCATGCGCAAAAATAGCGCAAAAGTTCGCAAAAATAAAATTTGCGCGAAAATAGCGCAAATTTTGCGCAAAAGATTTAGCCATTTCGTGGAAACCCTACCCAACCCTGGATCGTAAAACTGTCCCAATCCCAACTCTGGATCGTAAAACTATCCCAATCCCAACTCTGGTTCGTAAAACTATCCCAATCCCAACTCTGCATCGTAAAACTATCCCAATCCCAACCCTGTATCGTAAAACTATCCCAATCCTAACCCTGGATCGTAAAACAATCCTAATCCCAACCCTGCATCGTAAAACAACCCTAATCCCAACCCTGTATCGTAAAACTATCCCAACCCTAACCAATAACCAGAGCTAAATCAGCGGTCTAGGTTTTTTCCCAGCATAAAATTTTCGGCAAAAACTATGGATCGTAAATCGTAAAAATTCCTACCGATTGTTTTCAAATTCCACGTAGGTTAATATATTGTATGATTTGTGGAATTTTCTAAATTCTAATAAAAATCTATAAATATTTAATTGAGGTGAACCGAGGGAGAACTTAACAGATTTCTCATCATTTCCTTCCCAATGGTAAGCAATATTAGTTTTAGATTTTACTCAAAACATTTTTTCCAATAAACGTCAAAATGGATAAACCTATCTGGACCAAATTTATTGTCGGACCTAACCTGACCCCATTAGGAAAGGTTTATGGGCGATTAGAAATTCAAAAATTTGCCTTTTAAAAGTCTAGATTTTTTAAATCCACGAAAAAAATCGAAAAATCTGGGAAATTATTTTTGTTATTGTTTGATAATTTAAGAAGAAAAAATCTTGTTCCAACCCTTCAGTTGACCAAATATACACAATTTCCGTTTAGTCACAAACGAATAAACTTTTAGGATTGAAAATACAAAAAAAAAATAAGCCTTAGAGACCAAGAAAAGCTGAAGAAAAATTGGATATAATATATAGCCAGACTTTGAAAACATTGCTTCCAGGGGAAGTGCAAATGTTTTTATCAACAACACGTATAGAAACTGAAAGGGTCTAGCAACATGGCAAAGTTTGTATTTTCACATTTTGTAGAGAAAATTATATCTTATTTGTATCATCACTTCGGTTTAGTAAGAGCAGATTTCATGCGGTCTAAAAAACAGAAAAATAATGAATTTAATTGTTAGTGTTATTGGTTGAGTTTACTGCAGTACAAATCTATGGGGGCCCTAATATTAAAGGTTCAGTCGTTGTTATAACAGAAACTACATAAAAACTTTTCTTCACTCAATTTTCTTGGTATTTCTTAATAAATACTTCAATATCATGAATAAAATTTTTCACATTTTCAATCACAAAGGATACATTTTTGGACATTATTCTCCACTTTTTATATCAAATTCTGAAACCTTCGTCGATCTTGCTAAATATTTATTCAAGAGTGTGGTGCTACTAGATTAGATTTCTGTAGATCAAAAGGTTCTTTCATGGAATTCCAATGTTTCCAACATATTTCTATATTTTTGGTTTTGTCTTTAGAAAACTTACGAAAGTTTCCTTATTTTCCAAAAAAAAAAGTTGAATCAGTATTTAGATACTTAATTTCTTTTCAAATCAGTCTCTATTCATCTGTTATTTATGGATTATTTAAACTTTCACACGGGAGCGGCAAGGTACATTTATACAATTTCTTTAAGTTGTCTTTATACATGAATTCGTCTTGATTTCAAACTTCTGTGAACATCTTCTCAATACAAAACAAAAACACAAAAAAAATTTGGGGGGCAAGTTTTGAAATTCTGAGCATCCGAAGCCTCCCTGGGGTCATGTGAGGTCCCACAAAAAAATTGGGCCCGATAGGTTCAACCCGTTTTGATGTTTATCGGTTACAAGCAAACATACAAGCAGACAGACAATATCAAAGTATATATATATAGATCAATTTTCCTGGTTTTGGAACTCCTGATCCATCTCTAAAATACAAAGCTACACTCTATTTAATTAAACACATTTAAATGTTAATACTTATTTCAAACTAATCAAATATTTCCAGTAATGAATGAATAAATTAATTAGATAGAAAATATCTAAATATTATTTCAACTTAGTAATGCATTGTCTAAATATTCAACTAAATATGATAATTTATAATTTGAAAACGTCTATGATAGATTTGTACTTTGCCCCTTTCTTCATTTAACATATGATAGGATTTAACCTTTAATCAATTTCTTTTCGGGTCGTTGTTTTGAATTAATCTTTCCTGTTGAAACCAAAAGTCTTGTTTATATCTTTGCAACCCAATGTCGTAGACCTTAGATATTTCAAACTATGAATTCTTATATATCAAATAACCTGAGATTAAAATATAAAAGGTTTAAACATTCAAATTACAAAGATAAAATGATGAGAAATATATAGTGTTTGGGGAAGACTGAATTTCTCTGCCAAAAACTCTCTCGGGCGGGCAGGGGCCCGAATGGGGGGTGAGGGGGCCCGAATGGGGGAGAGGGGCCCGAATGGGGGGGAGAAGGCAACTTCAAGCTTTGATTGCACGTTCATGAAGAAAAAGTAAAAGTAATTGTTGAAAATTTGCCGTCATTCTGTTTCACTTTGACAATTCTTACCTCATCAAAAATAAAAATTTTATAGCAAAAGTTCTAAATCCAATGTGTATCAAAATCATGCATCAAGTGTTGACAAGGTTTTCGCAAATTTAAAAATTGCTTCTAACAATTTTCTTAGATTTGTTTAACACAAGATTCCTCACTCATTATTATTCTGTTTTTATAATTGGATTTATCTATTTCCCCTGTGTCTCTAGAAATGAAACAATAGAAAAATAGTTCCCAACTTTGGCATAATTTCCTTTAACATTTCATATTTTTATTCAACTACAAAGCACGAGATAATACAAATAAAAAGTCACAATTTACTACGTTGTTCGGACCCGCCTAACCAGAGTTGGTTGTTTTGATTGGTTGGTCCATTATAAGCGAATAAGAATTGTAACTAAATAGATGGATGAACAAGCTGCACAGTGTACATTTTAAACTAAACAATGATGATAAATCATAAATAAGGTTTAAGGAGAGAGTGGGTACTTAGCGGAAGGGTTCTAACTTTCGTTGGAATAGCGCTCAGCCACATTGACTGAAGGACAAGGACTTCCGTCAAAAGACACTATAGTGGTAGGCGATTATATCAATACAATGAAGACGACTTTTTCATTTAAGGTTTGATTTTTAAATTGACAGCTTCTCTTGGGTGTATCCATGCTGTTTAAAACTGCTTGATATAAATCAAAGTTGAAATCGAAAGTCGTCTTCATTGCATTGATATATGTAAATATTCAAAATACAAAAATTTGACCTCAGGGCTGGTTGCCTGGGATCGGTTGACCGGAGTGAAGTTCTGGCCAGGATTGGAGATGTTAACTCCTACGATGTTTCAACTCCACTTCTTCAATCTCAATATGTTCAAAAGCTTCTTCAAATATTACAAGGTGAGATTTTATTTAAACTTATGAAGAAGATTTATTGATAAAAGCTGAAATTATTAATAGAAAAAGGGACATGTACTATGTATCGCCCTGTCAGACTATAATTACATAGATCATGGATAAACTATAACAAGAATAGATGGTTGACGCGTATCGAGCATAGCTATTAAGTCGAGTTGGAAAAGCTCAAAGCCGCGCGCAACTTTCGTGTAAAAATGCACAATGGGCTTAAAGAACGAAAATATTTGTATTTCCATGATTAGTGAGACAAAGTTTTAAGCCACCCTCCCTCTCTGGACCCACTGTGGAGAGTTGTTAAAGAAGACAATAATTCAATAATGTGCACAACATATATGATAACCCCAAAATGCCATCCCGATTGATTGATTATCTCGAAATATACAGCAATATACACTATACAGCTGTCTAATTAGTAAATCCTGTCCGGGCTAAGTGATTTGAGGGTGCGGTCCGCGTCAGCGTTGTATCTTTGGGGATTTCATCCCCAAAAAGGGTCATATTTGGGGATTTTCAAGCGTTTGGGGATTTGGGGATATCCATAAACTTAATTAAGGAATTCTTCTTTGAGCTGTGCAAATGGAAATGATGCTGTACGTTATAAGATTATACATTAATTTTGAGGAGTTAAAAGGCAACATACGTAGCAGAAAAATTAAAAAACGTGAAATTATTATTCGGATAGTGCTTATATTTTTCCTCTTTGGAATTTTTTTCTGGGATTTTTAAAAATTTTCAATCGGGGATTTTTAGGGGATGGATTTTTCTTGTTTTATTGGATTCCAATCCAAGCCGTCTCGAAACTCTGTAATTACTTTGATGAATTCTTTACAAAAGTTTCTGATACATTTGAAAAAGAAAAAAACCTATAAAGGGAAAATAACTTGATACTATTGAAACAACAAAACTCTTATCTCCAACAAATTATTTGAGATGAAAGAATTCTCGTTTGCGCAACCTCCTCCTTCATCTGAAAAATATTGTCTGTATAAAATGTTCATAAACATCTTCATTTTTATTATTATTTTATGCAGTTTTTAGTAAAAATTTCTTGGAGATTAAAATGCACTCTGGGATTATTTTGGTATAGTGTTATTAAAAAAGAAAAAATAAGCATATTAAAAATGTTTTTTATAAGGTTCAAGACCTGAAACTCTTTAAACACCACGATCCTAAAGTTGAATTTATACTCATCTAATAGATTATTTCATGATTTAACATTAAAAACAACAAGTTTAAAAGGGAATCATGAATATAAGACTCATTCTTTGTGGGTAACCCTGTATATTTACATGAACGGATTCCAGATTCGAATATTAACTGTCATAAGACCTTTAGAAAAACGTTCAAAATATTATTCTATTTTTCCGCACACAAATATTGAATTCATTGTAACTAGTATTAGAAAAAAAAGTGCTGTACTGGATAACCCACTTACATTTTGAATTCTAGAACCTTCAATATTTGAAATATGCAATCAGCAATATCAGATGCTTGATTTTTAGGTTTCAGTCATTAATGAAAGGTAAACAGCTGATTCAAATATTTGAAGAACTTGTTACCCCATTTTCTCTGTGTACATTTAAACTCTTTTTTAATTTTGTTTTTAAAAGAAGTATTTTTGAGATGCTGTCTTTTATTATATTTATCATTTAATTTGGTAATTTGGAAACCTGAACATAAGAGGATTTTTTGTGATTAATTGTCTCGATTAGTTTTGATTTTCCTTGGATTATCTGATATACGTTTCCTTCCACACCCTTAAAATAGCTTCGAGCAGGGCGCTATGACTTCATAATTCTTCTTTTAATGAGTGTAAACTTATTTTATAACCTGGCAATCTGTATCCAGCTTGAAGAACGCTTTGGATACTTCCAGTACCCTAGCAATTGGAAAATTTCGGACTTTTTAAGCCACTTTTTTTTATAAAGGACCCATCTATGGGCCAATTCAAACTTCTTCCTTATTTGCATAAAATGACGTCTACCATTTCACGTCTCCCAGTTCCCTGTAGCTGTAATCTTCTTACTTTCTTTGTCAAACTAAGAACATTTTTGAATGCAAACTTCCAAATTCAAACTCTGGATTTTCATATTCCAAGAGTTTCAGGTCGTCTTTAAAGTATCATGTTTTGTGGATAACCCTGCATAAAAAGTCAGTATATCTGCAGTCTAAATAATCAAAATACCAATTTTTATTCATGTATTTCTGAATAAATAAATCAGTTATTCATATTTCTAAGCAATAAATCTTGTTTGAGCTGCATACCCTCCCCCCCCTTTAGTACTTTGGGCGAAACACTTCTAATTGTTTGATTTAAAAAATTGTGCCACAAAACAACGTCTGGTTTTATCATTAAAAGCGGTCAACGTCTGCTTGGCAGATCCCATCAAGTCAATTTTTACAGGAATTTTCAGCTTTCAGATAGAAAAGCAAGGATATCTGAGACATTTTTGAGTAATTTCTAGTAACCCTCTACTTAAAGATAGTAATGCCCGATTTACAACGGTACCCTTGACACCTGAATCGAATCCATCAAACAGGTGAAAGATAACGTCGTTTTTCTGACAAGCTAAATTGTTTATTTCTGTGAATTTCTCCATTGTTTCTTAAAAGCAAGAAATGTGCAAGTCACTTTTGCAGAGAACCCACAAATGAAAATAGACAAAGATATGGATATCTAATCCATACTTGATCAGAAAATGCTTTTTAAAGGGACTGTTAAGGAAAAATGAAAGAGGGTATAGGCTGGAAGCTAATCACTTTAACTCATAATTGCGACCCATGAAAGTTGTATCTGATGTTCCTGTCTAGAGAAATTGATATAAAAATTTTTCAAACGAATTGGGTCCTTGCCACGAATCCCAATTTTCTAATACCTACATCTCTAAAACCAGATGACACAAACCTTTGATATTTCAAACTTTAATTATTTGATCCATCAGAATTCATAGTTTGAAATATCTAGTGTCTACAACATTGGGTTGTAGAGATAAAGGGATTAAAAAATCAGAGTTTGTGGCAATGACTCAATTCCTTTATACAAAAATTCATATATATACAATTTTGTATAGAAACAGTTTGTTTAAACAGATCCTATTTCGCAAATATGCAACCAATCTGAAAACGAAGATATCCCAGATAAACCTAATTATAATTTACTCCAATTATTATTTTATGATTTTTATTTTTATTTTTAATAGATATAGATTATAATATTATTTTTATGTACGTATTACGTCACCAAAACTCCCACCAATGGTAAAGCAGTATAGTGGTCACATGTATCTGTCTGTAAACCAACTATTTCTATACAAAATTCTACATATATGAATTTTCGTATAAATTTGACAAAGTTTTATATCAATTTCTCGAGACAGGAATATCAGATATAACTTTCATGGGTCGCGATCAAGAGCTAAAGTGATTAGCTTTCAGACTATACCCCCTTTCATTTTTCCTTTACAGTCCCTTTAAGGGTAACATTGTCAAACGGACATTGCCATCTTTGCATGGAAAGTCATTTAAAATTACGCTAACAGTTCCTTTAACTAGATATTGTGACAGCTGAGTGTGGAGGTGAACCAAACCATGCGCTGCTCACCACCTGGAGATGGAGAATATCAGGACTTCTCTCCTTACCGATAATTCTTCTTGGTGGAATCGGAAACATTCTATCTATTATTGTCTTGGTTCGTAGGTAAACCTCATTCTTATTTATGGTCTCTCATTATCCAGCAGTAAGCCCGTCCTCCCAGTCTTTTGTAATCTTAGATTTATTCTCAGATACATACAACGAGGGTATAGGATACATAACATAGATAACTAAAGGAACTGAGTCTTTGCCACAAACTTGTATTTTCTAATCCGTTTACCTTTCCAACATATATTTCAAATATAGATTATTTGATCTAAAGACTAAAAGAATTCATAGTTTAAAATATCTAAGGACCACGAAATTGGATTGCAAAGATATAGGGATATATAAAATCTTAGTTTGTTCAAAGGCTCAATTTCTTATAGAGAAAGTTCATTTACAATGTGTACCAAACCAGTTTTCTCTAAATTGGGAATTACTGACAAATATTTAGTCATTGAAAACTTAAGATGTCTGAAAAAAATTAAATGAATAGGATGAATCATAATCAAAACCGATATTGACTGGAGTATTTTGTAGAAAAAAAAACTTATAAAAACCCATTTTCTAGAAACTCGGGAATCCCATATTTAATTCGATTTAGATAAAACCCCTTAAACCGTCACATAACTTGAAATTATTTTTTTCGCTTTACACATAACTCCAGCTTAACTTGAAAAATAATTCAGATTACTTTCTAAGAACTTTTTCAGAAGAATAAAAATGTTTTAAATTTCAAATATTTAACTGAATAAATTTGCTTTTATTATATTTGTGAGTAAAATCAATCTAGAGGAACTACACTATCCCCGTAGTAAATTTGAATTCGAACAGGACCTGCCCAGTTTGTACCGGCCTGCCAGATAACAGCGTGTACTGACCTGATCCTATGGTACAGTACGTCGCCCTAACCAGACTAACATACGACAGGGGTCAATTTTCTTGGCATAAACCTCCGTGAGAGGGCTAACTATGACAACTCCCATGGCGCGTTCAGACTTTTTACAGTACCCGGCCTCATCATAGGCCTATTTGACCGACCCCACTGGCTTAGTCCACCGTGACTACGGTGTTCCAGTTATGAGGTTAAAAAGTATATGAGAACGCGAAAATACAATTCAGATCATATTTTCATGGATTAGTTGCGCACTAAATTGCTTTAAACTAAATTCTACGAGTCAAAGTTTGAAATATTAAATATTAGAAAATTTGAAATTGTTCATTTTCCTTTTCTGAATATATTAATAACTAGCTGAAGTGCTCGGCGTTGCCCGTGAAATAAAAAAATCGAAAAATTGCCGCATTAGTTATTGTAACCAGATACAGCCTAATATCAGACCACGTCAACATACTTGCACCAGTTAGCGCTGCCTACAGAGCTAGGCCAACTTTATTGACCACTGCTATATGTCTGCCAGTTTAGTTGGTGTACCGGGCGGTTCAGCTCAGATTCAAATGTACATGAGTTGATTTTGTAGTGTGTACTGTAATAATAAGGGCAGTGAATGTGATCGTATTAGTAATGAAATATTTGTTAAGGTCAATGAGAAATGTTTTCAATATCCTGATGTGTATTCTCTGCTGCGCTGATCTACTAGTAATCCTCTCCAACCTAATCTACACGATCAATATAATGAGTTCCAACAAGACAATATCGAACCTTATCCCAGTCTCAGAATCTACTTGTCACGTAGCTCTAGCTGCCAGCGTCTTTCTAACCATGGTCATCACAATAGAGAGACATCAGGTAATTAAAACAAACGTATAAGTGACCATACGATGTTGTACTTTGCCGGCAGCGGCGAGTTGCCAGTGTTAGATTGCCATGTATTAACTTGCCAGGTGACTCTTTTTCATGTGACAACTTTGCCATGTGACAAAGTTGTCAGGTAACACTTTGCCAGTTGTCAATATGCCATGTGAAAAAGTTGCCAGGTAACCATTTTCCCAGGTAAACTTTGCCAGGTGACTGCTTTGCCAGTTGACAATTTGCCAGTGAACAATTTTCCAGTTAGAAATCATAAGCATTTCAAATAGTTTTTGAGTTGAACTAATTTATGGTAATTGATAAAGAGCAAATCTGCAGGGGGCCGGGAACAAGAAAATAGTTGATTAGGAAGGCAGTCCAATAGTCATGTTTAGTGTACACAGACCCATTTCACTTATTAAGTTGGTTTTTGAAGTACTAGTAAAACTATTTGCTTTATATCAACATCAAATACACAGAAGTCCCACTAAAATAAAAAAGAATAACATTAAAGCACAGAAAAATAAACATTATTTTTATCATAATGCTAATACAGATTATTTTATATAGACTCATATGTCAACGTTAATTGATGTTACTTTGAAAAATTAAACATATTTACTAATAAATATTTTTAATCTATTAAAATCTTCAGTACGGTAATAAATACAAATTACTACGGCAAAGACAGGCTAGGAGACTGAGCGCTGCGGCTATTACATGATGAGGGGCCGAGTTCTGCGGCTAGGACAGAACAAGAGGGCCAAACGCTGCAACTATGACAGGCTAGGGGACTGAATGCTTAGGCTTTATTTGTCACTTGGTAAATGTTTTACTCCCGTTATATATGGGTTAGGTTATGCCTTCTTCGGGGGCCACAGGCTACAAAGGGAGTCTAGCAACTGGCAAAGTTGTCAACTATCAATGTTGTCAACTGGCAAAGTTGTCAACTGACAAAGTTGTCAACTGGCAAAGTTTTCAACTATCAATGTTGTCAACTGGCAAAGTTGTCAACTGACAAAGTTGTCAACTGGCAAAGTTTTCAACTGACAAAGTTGTCAACTTAGTCAACTTGCAATGCTGTCAACTGGTAAAATTATCAACTGGCAGAGTTTTCAACTGTCGAGTTTGTCAACTGGTAAAATGGTCAACTGACAAAATTGTCAACTCAACTGGCAAGTAGTCATTTGGCAAAGTTGTCGACTGGGAAATTGTCAACTGGCAAAATGATCACCTGTCAAAATGATTACCTGTCAAAATGATCACCTGTCAAAATGATCACATGTCAAAATGATCACCTGTCAAAATGATCACCTGTCAAAATGATCACCTGTCAAAATGATCACTTGTCAAAATGATCACCTGTCAAAATGATCAAATGTCAAAATGATCACCTGTCAAAATGATCACCTGTAAAAATGATAACTTGGCAAAATGATCACCTGTCAAAATGATCACCTGTCAAAATGATCACCTGTCAAAATGATCACCTGGCAAAATGATCACCTAGCAAAATGGTGATATGGCAAACTTGTTACATAGCAAAGGGCTAAAGGACAAAGTGTACCATGGAAACTTTGTCACATGGTAAAATTGTTACATGGCAAAGTGCCGCCTGGCAAATTGTCGTTAGGAACTAGATAACATCCTGGAAACTTTTGAAAGGATGGAATAAGTTCAGGGGTGGATACAGGGGGAGGGGGTACATTCGCCCCCCCCCCCTGAATTTGGAATTTTTTGTTCCTATCTTCAGAATAGCTTCTTAATAGCATGCTTAAGGGAAAGAAATCCTAGTGCAAAACAGGAAAAATATCTGTCTTAATAAACTATAATGTGTGAAAAGTTAAAACTCTAGTTTTTTAGTCTTTAGTCATTAATTTTGACTCTTTTTGAGTCTTTTAAGTCAAAAAAATGTTCGCCAGCGGCGCGATTTTTTGTTCACAGATAAAAACAGATAAAAGCTAAAATTAATTTTAGAAATTTTTTCTTTAATATACTTTTTCAATGTTTTAGTTATATATCTAAAAAGAAAAGAAGATTGAAACACTGTAAAGGAAATTAAAGTCTTATAGTGTATTATCTTTTTCATTTAGAATTTCCGCTACCGGACCAAACCATCATATTCTTAATGTTGAACTTTACAATTCATACATCTTTCTTTCCATTTTATTTTTTTAAACAGCAGTTTTTGAGGATTAGCAGGAGAATGATTAAAATTATTTTTATCAGACGTATACCGTAGAGTGTATGCATTTTACTAGCTATACAACTAATATATACTACTACTAAGACATAATTTACTTTGCTTTTTAGACGGTGGATACGTTTTAAATGAAAAAGTAAAAAAAGAGAGAGACTGAAGTTTTCATTAATAATTGGAGACTACTGGAGAGTACCGGAGGGTTCTAAATCCAGTGGAGAGAAAATTATTTCTACTGGAGAGCTTTTAAATTTTTACCAAAATATAAATTCTACCGGAGGGTTTTCTATTCCACTGGAGTACAAACTATTCATATCAGGGAGCCTTGGAATTTGAACCTAAATTAATAATTCTACCAGAGGGTTTTTTAATTCATTGGAGGGATTAGATTGTGTAGAAAAACAGGTTTGAATTTTTCCCCAAAGTAATTCATATCTTACAAAAGCATTTTAGATGTATTTCTATACATTACTTGTCTGTCTTGGATTTTAGTTGTAAACAGGAAAATCTAAAAAAAATTATCTACATTTTGCAGGTTTTCAGATATATCAGTAACAAAAACCTAACATTATTACACAGTAGTGTTTATAATATCAATAGTTGAAAACCCGGTAAAATATAAATCACTATGGGGAAAAATTCAAACCTTTTTAGTTCACACAGAACATTACTCCAGTGAATTAAAAAACCCTCCAGTAGAATTTTTCTCTTTGTAAGAACTTAAATCCTCCCCATTTTGAAATGCAATTTACTCCAGTGGAAAAGAAAACCCTCCGGTAGAATTTATATTTTGGTAAAAATTTAAAAGCTCTCCAGTAGAAATAATTTTCTCTCCACTGGATTTAGAACCCTCCGGTACTCTCCAGTAGTCTCCAATTATTATTGAAAACTTCAGTCTCTCAAAAAAAGAGATCTATTATGTAGTCCACTAAACTAACAACACTGGATGCTGACTACTGTTTATGTATAGGCTGTATGTAGTCCACTAGACTACAAACATAGGTGCTGACTACTGTTTATGTTTAGGCTGTATGTAGTCCACTAGACTACCAACATAGGTGCTGACTACTGTTTATGTTTAGGCTGTATGTAGTCCACTAGACTACCAACATAGGTGCTGACTACTGTTTATGTTTAGGCTGTATGTAGTCCACTAGACTACCAACACTGGGTGCTGGCTACTGTTTATGTTTAGGCTGTATGTAGTCCGCTAGACTACCAACATAGGGTGATGACCCGTGGAATATATTCTATAGTCCAGTTCTACACGCTACCTGTTATTGCCTGCTCTATTCTATTTAACGCAGTCAGGTAAAATTAAAGATTTTTCTTAGATTACCTAAGATTATCTAAGATTATCTAAGATTATCTAAGATTATCTGATTATCTAAGATTATCTCAGATTATCTAAGATTGTCTGAGATTATCTAAGATTATCTAAGATTGTCTGAGATTATCTAATTTATCTAAGATTGTCTGAGATTGTCTAAGATTATCTAAGATTGTCTGAGATTATCTAAGATTATCAAGGATTATCAAAGATGTAATGTTTGAGGACAGTTTTGCTACAGTTTAATTCGTTCATAAACGGTTATTAAATCAACAAAACGGACAGGCCCATCAAGTCGGCGTTTGTTTATAACTAACTAGCTAAGGTGCCTGGCGTTGCCAGTGGAGTTTAAAAACCAGGGTACTCAATACTTATGTTTTTCATAAAAAAAATGTTAGCCAATTTGGTCCAGTAGTTTCTTCAGATATAGTTAACATATTTATGAAGAAAGGCTTTATTATATAGATAACTTAATTATTCTTTTCTTAAACTTCCGTTTGTTAACCTTCTCTTCTCCAGTTTTATTATTATTATAAATTCTGACAAATCCGATAAAATCGTATATTATGTTGGCTCAAAGGAATTGATTCTTTGCCACAAACTTTAATTTTCTAATCCCTATATCTTTGCAACCCAGTGTTATATGGCGGTTAGCTATTTTCCATTATGAACTGCCAAGATATTAGAATTAGAAAATTTGAGTTTATGCCGGCCGGCATTATAACTGTCCTTTTCTTAACCTCGTTTTTAAATAACTAGGCTTTCGCTTCAAGACCATTTTCTATTTTAACTATAAATTGTGGCTCTATCTGTGAGCTTTCTCTTTTCACACAATAAAAATAATAATCAAAAAGATTACTTGCTGATTTCGTCATGTTTTTCGTGGAAAATTTCAATAGGTTGGAAAATTAAAATTTTGAAATTCTGAGCATCCATTGACTTTCCCTGGGGACGTATGAGATTCCACAAAAAAAGGACCGGATCTCTGTTCAACTGTTTTAAAGTTTAATGTATGCAAACAGACAGACAAGCAAAGTATACATATGTACAGTACCCGATATTTGAATTGGCCGGTACACGATGGTCTCTTGAGGCCCAAGTACACACAGTAGAAAGTTGTTCTTGGCGGATGACAAAAGTTGAGATTGACAGCTTTCTAAAATGTATTTTCAATTTTCTGTACTTTTTCTGATAACTTTTTTATAGTAAACCTTAATCAAAAAGTGTTAGGTGTTGTTCGTTAACGAAATGTTCAAAAAGTGTTGCTCGTTAACGGAATGTTAAAGAAGAGTTGTTCGTTAACGGAATGTTCAAGATATGTTGTTCGTTAACGGAATGTTCAAGATATGTTGTTTGTTAACGGAATATTCAAGATATGTTGTTCGTTAACGGAATATTCAAGAAGAGTTGTTCGTTAACGGAATGTTAAAGAAGAGTTGTTCGTTAACGGAATGGTCAAGAAGAGTTGTTCGTTAACGGAATGTTCAAGAAGAGTTGTTCGTTAACGGAATGCTCAAGATATGTTGTTCTGGAATGTTCAAGAAGTGTTGTTCGTTAACGGAATGTTCAAGAAGAGATGTTCGTTAACGGAATATTCAAGAAGTGTTGTTCGTTAACGGAATGTTAAAGAAGAGTTGTTCGTTAACGGAATGTTAAAGAAGAGTTGTTCGTTAACGGAATGTTCAAGATATGTTGTTCGTTAACGGAATGTTAAATAAGAGTTGTCCGTTAACTGAATGTTAAAGAAGAGTTGTTCGTTTACGGAATATTCAAGAAGTGTTGTTCGTTAACGGAATATTCAAGAAGAGTTGTTCGTTAACGGAATATTCAAGAAGAGTTGTTCGTTAACGGAATGTTCAAGAAGAGTTGTTCGTTAACGGAATATTCAAGATATGTTGTTCGTTAACGGAATATTCAAGAAGTGTTTTTCGTTAACGGAATGTTCAAGAAGCGTTGTTCGTTAACGGAATGTTCAAGATATGTTGTTTGTTAACGGAATGTTTAAGAAGTGTTGTTTGTTAACGGAATATTCAAGATATGTTGTTCGTTAACGGAATGTTCAAGAAGTGTTGTTCGTTAACGGAATGTTCAAGATATGTTGTTCGTTAACGGAATGTTCAAGAAGAGTTGTAATAGAATATTTAATAACAGATCTCACATGATTTATTTTTAGATTCGTCCAGTTCTCTCCACTCTACGCAATGGTCGAAACAGATCCTATATTTGTAGAGGTTAGGAAAATTTATTTTAATATTAATATTATTTTTTCTTTGTCTTGCAGCTTATTATCCAAATATTTAAAGTATAATTTTCTTTCAACCCACTCAACATATTTTTCAAACGCAGAAAAATTGGGAAAAACTGGATAAATTGAATTCTGAAGTATACTGTAAACATTTCCAATTCCTATAGGTCATATATAATACTAGCTCAATTGCCCGGCGTTGCCCGTGGAAAACAAAAATTTCGAATTTTGAAAAAAAAGGAAATTTAGATTTTTGAGAATTTTTTTTAAATATCGAATTTTTGAAGCCTTTGTTACAAAATAAATTTATCTACAAATACATAAATCAGTGAAAACCCAACAATCGGTATGAATGATTTGAGAATTTTCACAAAAATACAAAAATAAATTCACAAGCGAAGAGCTTTATTATATAGAAGACTAACTAAATTCACGTGTACATACATATATGAGGAAAATTACTGAAAAAGTTTTGCTTTCGATAAATCCTAAACATGTTTTTACCATTATCTTCACACAAAAGAAAACATAAAAAACGTAAACATTTCATAAAAAGGAGAAACTTAGAAGAAAACTCCCAACTGGCGCTACATCAATTGTCCTACAATCACATGTCCTAGAAATCATTTGTCTGACAAATTATTTGTCCTAAAAATCATTTGTCCTACAATCATTTGTCCTACACATCATATTCATGTGCTTTATTTGTCCTACAATCATTTGTCCTACACATTATATTCATGTGCTTTATTTGTCCTACTCTTAGTTTGTTCTTACATCACATTCCCTACAGAGAGAGAAAACCATCGTCATGATGCAGAAGAAAAATGATTTTGCGTATTTTCAATTTTTTAGTTGATCTTTTAAAACACTTTAATGTAGGATCGAAAAATGATTTCATCATTCTGCAGGACAAATGATGTGTAGGACAAACGATGTTTAGGACAAAGATTAGGACAAATGATGTGTAGAAAAATGATGTTTTCCTCTCTATGTCGAATAGAAGATGTGTAGGAAAAATTATTAGTACAAATGACATAGTGCCCAGAAAATTCCCCTCCAAAAACTATTTTCTCATTATCTTTAACTTTACGTAAATTGATTGATTCCTCCCTCTTTCTAGTTCTCTCAAAATCAAAAATTGTGAAAAGTTAGATTAAAGGAATTGAGTCTTAGCCACAATCTCTGATTTTTTAATCCCAATATCTGTACAACCCAAAGTCGTAGACCTTATATACTTCAAACTATGAATTTTGATGAATTAAATTATTTAAGTTTGAAATAACGAAAGTTTACACCATCAGGTTACAAGGGTATAAAGATTAGAAAATTCGAATTTGTGACAAAAACTCAATTCCTTTAAAAACGAAGATTCGAATAAAAATGTACAGGAAAAAAAATTGAAATTCAGGATTTTTCAGCACTTTTTGCGAAGTAGATATATGAATATAAAATCTGTATATATCTTTAATATTTGACTCTTTTCTTCTTCTTTGAATAGAATTTGAATTCAAGCCTTCAAATTAAACTTCTTCGTGTAAGTTTCTATTCGATCTCATATCTCATACAAATGAAAAACAAACACAGGCAAACAAGATTACTACTTCGTATAGTAAGAATGATATATATGGTGTCATTTTTCGTTATCTATATATACAAAGTTGTAATCTATGTTTGTCTTTTTGTTTGTTTGTCCGATCATAACTCAGGAACCCCTGGACCAATTTGCCTCAAATTTTGATTGGGGAACTCAAAATTGTCATTTTAGTTTTTCTTAAAATTACAACATTATCTATTTTCAAACATTATCTGTAATTTGTCCTCTATTGCTTCTAGTCAACATTAATCGTTCTGAAAACAGAGCCTCGAGTTAAAGTATAGTTTAACTTCAATTTTGTTTTCCACAAGTGGAGTTTTAGTCCAGTTAAACTAAGCAACTGTCGTGCAATAACTGCAAGATTATCTTTTAACCACCTACGAAGTTCACTTGGAACAAGCTGGCGGGGGAAAAAAACTTTTTTTTCCGAGTTTGTTATTTTCAAAGATTAAAAACAATACAGATGGAAAACTAGACGTCGTCCTTTCAAGATTTAGGCGTTTTAGTTTACAATAACCCTGAGGCAGAGGCCCAAAGGAGTTACGCTTACGCACATGTATTCAGAATAGGTTATTGTATAATGTATACATTACACAGGAAAAAAGTAGGCTGAATAACGCCAAACAAATACATTTTATAGGGATGCAAAAATATTGGCAATACAAACGTATTTTTATCATACAAAAATTGGTTCTATTTGATAAAGTATAAAAAAAAATATTAATTAAAAGACGGCCTTAAAAACTCTTTTTCTTATGATAATTAATCATATTATAGGGCGGGCCGGGTCGATCCTTTTTCCATTGTATTCCATACTCCTTGTCTCTCTCTGTCTTGTAATTCAACGCTGCCTGCGCAGAACTCCTTTGGTTTATTGTGAACGAAAAACCCTTAAATCTTGAAAAGACGACATTAGTGTTCTAAATATATATTCTTATTAATCTACGGTTATTTGGTTGAAAAGTCAGTGTTAACCCCCACTTTGAAAACTAGTTGTTCCATCAAGTTCTGGAATAAATACACAATTATACACATACACAATTTCGACGCTCCATGCTATATAAAATACAAGGCTTTTAGGACGCTTCGCACCCCCTTTCCTAAAAATAATTTTAGCTTTTAACTGTTGCTCTGAAAGTCGTATCTGATTTTCTAATCCCTATATCTCAGCAACCAAATGTCGTAGACATTTGATATTTCAAACTATCAATTCTGTTAGATCAAAAATCTCAGTTTGAAATACAGTAGGTTTGCACCACAAGGCTTCAAAGATATCAAGACTATAAAACTTAAAGTTTTTGACAAAGACTCAATTCCTTTGTCGGCTTTTTTGGTTTATTTTCACGTTTATTGGATACAAGCGGACAGACAAACAGACAGACAGATAGACAGATAAGCAAAGCATAAATAGAGATGATTCGCCATTTCTTATAAAATATAATAATGTTTGAAACTAAACTAAGAAGAAGACGGAAAGAAACAAGGGCGTATACAGAAATAATTCTAACGGTTGGGGCCAAATTTGCGCGACGCGAAACATTTTTTTTGCCCCCCCCCTCCTTAGGAGCTCCTAGGGGGGGGGGGCAAAATTTGAACTGTAAATATAAAATTCTTGGATATCAGACATAAGTATAAGATACTTTAAAGGTACAAATACATACAGTTCAATTACCTTGCATGTACTATACTTGTATTTAAACTAGAGATAGTAAGAGACATCTTTGAAAATGAAAAACTCAACTTAAACTTAAATTTTATGAGATGAAAAAGGACAGAGGTCCAGAAAATAATTATAATAAATAATAATATAAAAAAAGTATTAGTTCAATTGTAATCTATATAATAAAGCTTTTCGTTCATTTATATGTTTGTATGGCTGGCCAAACGGTTGAATCAAATCAAAGTGAATAAATATTTGTTCGCTTTGGAATCAAATGGGCTGAATTTTAGTAAGGAAACTCATGAATACCTTCAAGGATGACATAAGCTAAATAAATTATAAGTTTTTTAAATTCGAATTTTTAAATTCCACGGGCAACGCCTGGCACTTCAGCTAGTTCGTAATAAAAAGAAATATTACAAGACGGTGGTGCAATGAATAAAGTAAATTAAATCCAAATAAAAAAATTTTAAAAAATGGTCTTTTACTACCTCTGCAATCTCAAGCCAAGCCAAACATTAGGATGAATGTGCATTCTAAATAGATTTTTCATTCGGACTTCTGTCATGGTGGCTCTGGTCCATGTATACAATCTTCTTAGAGCACTGAATGAACAGGAAATTATTTCGTTATGTTCTTCACTCTTGCCTCCCCCCCCCCGTATACGCCCTTGGAAAGAAAATATTGACAAATTGAATAGAACCTGCTGCTGCTCAATCATCTAGTATTGAATAGAACCTGGTAGCTGCTCAATCATCTAGTATTGAATAGAACCTGGTAGCTGCTCAATCATCTAGTATCATTCCTCGACACAGAAATATATTCTCCTCCAGCATTTAAGTGGACGTTTTAATAATTAAAAATAAAAACAAAAATCCTTTAAAAAAGAAAGTTTTCCAAAATATTTCCTGAGTATATTTTTTCAAAGCCTTCTTGGCTTTTTCAAACAACGTGGATTGCATTTTGTAAAATTAACAAGTTTTTACTTATTGACTTCGTTGTTATTGGAGTTTTTAAACCGAAAAATAATGGATTGAAGTTTTTTCGGACTTTTCCATAAAAACCATACGCCTTCCTTCCCCAAGGCATTTTTTCCAAGCTGGAACTTTCAAAGGTATTTTTCTAAGTGCAAGTTCCCAATGTGCAATTTCCCATGAGGTAACTTTTCAAATCTGTTATAGCAGCAGCGCTCATCCTAGCCGCAGCGATCGCACCTCTAGCCGATCCTAGCCGCAGAGATCGGTCCCCATGGGACTGGGAGCCTGTGGTGACTCAGAAGGCATAACCTGTCATTAGATGGTTTAAAAAAAGTAATTTGTTTATTTTAGGTTTCAACCTACTCCCAGATATTCCATCCTCTGATCACAACTGGTCTCATTCCACTTCTAGTTCTCAGCATTCTGAACTGGAGGTTAGTTCCTTTAGTTCCTTCAGTTCCTTTAGTTCTTTTAGTTCCTTCAGTTCCTTTAGTTCTTTTAGTTCCTTTAGTTCCTTTAGTTCCTTTAGTGCCTTCAGTTCCTTTAGTTCTTTTAGTTCCATTAGTTCCTTTAGATCTTTTAGTTCCTTTAGTAGTTCTTTTAGTTCCATTAGTTCCTTTAGATCTTTTAGTTCCTTTAGTTCCATTAGTTTCTTTATCCACTTTAGTTTCTATAGTTCTTTTAGTTCCATTAGTTCCTTTAGTTCCTTAATAGTTCCTTTAGTTCCTTAATAGTTCCTTTAGCTCCTTTAGTTCCTTTAGTTCTTTGTCTACAACATTAGGTTGCAAAGATTAAGGAAATAGGGCATTAAAAAATAAGTTTTTAAGGCGAGTTAAAATCCTTTATGGACGAAAGAAAGATAAAACTTTTCGAAATTTAATTTTCCTAACTCCCTGCACACACTAAAACATTTTTTGTTCTGCTCGTAGCTGTGTATAGAAAGGATGTATGATAAAAACTGGAAAACTAAAGATTACAATTCTAAGAATATAGTGAATTCTTTTGTATAGTTGTATAATGTAAATGCTCATGATGAACAGCTGCATTTCCTGAATTTACATAATATTGCATAAAACTGGACTTCTCAATCTTCTTATCTTTTATACTGTCAATTGTAGTTTACCGTTATTTTATTATAGAATTTAAGCTCCTTAGGCATGTGCGCCTCCCTTACTAGTAAAAATATTTATTCTTCTTCTTGCTTTTTATATCGAAGGGTTTATTACCGTCAGGTCCTTTAAAAATTAAATCTGATTGTTTCCACCGTTTCGACTTTTGATGAAAAAAATACTGTTATTTTCTCTTCTTAGTTTGAAATCGTTAATACGTGAAAACTGTTGAAGTTAAACATGTTTATGATTTGATAAATAAACGTGCTCTCTGTGTTTTCTAATTAAGAATAATTTGAAAAGAATAATTTGTGAAAACATTTATTGTTTATTTCAATAAAATATGTATAAATAGTTTTTAAAACCTAAATATAATAAAATGAAAAATAAATACAAAGGGAACTATGGTTCCAAATACAAACTCACATTTTCAAATCCCTAAATCTTTGAAACCTTATTGTGTAATCCTTTTATATTTCAAAATTGGATCATTTGATCTAACAGATTCATAGTTTAACGTATCAAAGTTATACAGTTTGTGGCAAAAACTCAGTCTTTCTTTCTTTTTTCTTTTCGTGTTTATGACTTGTCACCAGGATTTCTTTTGGTATTAAAGGATTAGGTTAATTAGATATAGTTGGTTCCAATAAGATCATCTACCAAATTATTTTCTTTAAACAAAACTACCCTTTTTCCTGCTGAAATTCAAGAAAACTGTTTAGAATAAGAAAAAGTCAAAAGTTGTTATAAAAACTATAATAGGAATGTGCTCTTATAACCTTAAAGGTTTCTGAACTTTTAAAAAGTTGCACAAAATCTGAGAACTTTTACTTTCAAAATTTGTGTTCAAAACATGTATTTAATGCACTTTGCCAAAGTTAGCCCTAAGAGATGAATTTTGTCAAAAATTAACCTTTTTTCCTGATATTTTCGCCTAAAATTTTTATTTTTATTTCATTTTTTTAATTTCATTTTTATAGAAAAGATGAAAACAGGCATATTGTAATCTTTTTTGAACAGAAAAAAGTTTACAGGGTTCCTTTGTGCATCGAGTTTAGAATTTACTAGAATACTGATAAACAACTGTAGAAGAGATATTGTCTAGGATACTGATAAACAGCTGTAGAAGAAATATTGTCTAGGATACTGATAAACAGCTGTAGAAGAGATATTGTCTAGAATACTGATAAACAACTGTAGAAGAGATATTGTCTAGGATACTGATAAACAACAGTAGAAGAAATATTGTCTAGGATACTGATAAACAGCTGTAGAAGAGTTATTGTCTAGGATACTGATAAACCACTGTAGAAGAGTTATTGTCTAGGATACTGATAAACAGCTGTAGAAGAGTTATTGTCTAGGATACTGATAAACAGATGTAGAAGATATATTGTCTGGGATACTGATAAACAGATGTATAAGAGTTATTGACTAGAATACTGATAAACAGCTGTAGAAGAGTTATTGTCTAGGATACTGATAAACAGATGTAGAAGATATATTGTCTGGGATACTGATAAACAGATGTATAAGAGTTATTGACTAGAATACTGATAAACAGCTGCAGAAGAGATATTGTCTAGGATACTGATAAACAGATGTAGAAGATATATTGTCTGGGATACTGATAAACAGATGTATAAGAGTTATTGTCTAGGATACTGATAAACAGCTGTAGAAGATGTATTGTCTAGGATACTGATAAACAGCTGTAGAAGATGTATTGTCTAGGATACTGATAAACAGCTGTAGAAGAGTTCACAGATCCTCTGTACAGCGTGCTGAGCTGAACCTGGCTCGTGTTATGATGGTTCTAGTTCTCAGCTTTATCCTTCTCCAGATACCCAGGGTTATCTTAGGGTTCTACGAAGTTTTCAATATACCAAACTATCTCAGATGTCTCCGCAAGGGATGCAGGTAATATATTACTGGTGGTTTTGTATTTTTCCAAAGGTATTTTTTTATTAGCGACTACCAAAGTGACAATTTCCCAAGAGAAAACTTCCCAAAAGTTAGGTTATGCCTTCTGAAGCACCGCTGCGACTAGAACAGGCTACGGCCGAGCGCTGCGTCTAGGAAAGACTTGGGAATTTTTTACTTGGGAAAATACCCTTTTAAAGTTTCCGCTTGGAAAAATGCCTCAAACTCAGATTTTCTAATGCCTGTACCTTTTCAACCTACAGACGTTGACCTTTGATATTTCAAACTATCAAAGGTTTACACAATCACGTTGCAGTGATATAGAGATTAAACAATTTGAGTTTGCGGCAAAAGCTCCAGGGTTCAAGGCTGCCACCGATTTTAGGAAGAATTGAGGAGTTGGGATAAATTAGGCCATTTAAACTTAAAGAAAAAAATCAAACTCTAGTTTACACTATTTGATCAGAAATTTCTGTAAATATCAAAATTGTCAAAAATTAGGCTCTCGGTACCACTCAGGAGTTTTTTGGAACACACGTTTGAAAATATACAATGTACATTGTACATTCACATATTATAACAAACATACAATACATATGTTTTTTATCAATGTGAATACAATAATCTTTTAAAAATATCTTATCAAACATGTATGATGAATGATATAAGTATTTCTCACAAATATAAAATCTACAATTTTTCAACTCTGAATCCTACAAATACTAAAAATTCCTGCAAATCCTACAAATTTATACAAATCCTAAAAATTCCTGCCAATCCTAAAAATTCCTACGAATCTACAATTCTTGCTTCAAGCTGTGTGTTCACAGTCGAATAAAACTGACACGATCCATTAGTTTTCAATGTAAAACATAAACTTGTATTTTTTTTGAGTTTTTTTTATGTTTTCCCTCCAAACAGTTCAACTTTTATTGTTTTTGTTATATTTCATAAATGTATTACGTACTTTTTTTCTCGATTACATATTTTCCGATTTGTTTATAAGATATTTATTTTCAATTTTATTGTTTAATATTAACAATAAAAGTAAGTATCTTTATATTTTACAACTACTTTATATATTATTATAAATTCATAAATGTATTCTAAAGTTATTTTTAAAATTTTTGTTCTTTGCAATGATTTGACGTTTGTATGATGCCAAATCCCCCATTTCATGCTTAGAAATATTATCTATCTTTTATCCCCCGCTCTACGAAGTTTTCAGGAAAAAACCGCGCATTTTTATCTCAATAGACGATAAAATTGTGTATAACTTTCATTGTAAAGTAGTTGTAAATAATTATTACTACGTACTTTACTGTGTAGGGAAATAGTTGTACACAATTTTATTGTTTTTTGAGATGAAAATTCGCAAATGTTTTCTCTAAAACTTCGCAAAGCGGGTCATTATTTTAATTAATTGATCCAAGAGACGTTAAATAGTTTAACTCACTCTGTTGGGGAAATAATAGCTCGGTAATGTAAAAGGCGATAAAAAAACGTTTTTTTCCAGATTCATCCCGAGTACCTGGCAGTGGATGGTAGATATATTTGTTCGGTTTCTCACACTTCTCAACAGTTCAATCAACTTCGCCATATACTGCTTCACCGGCTCTAAGGTAACACATTTTTTAAATGAAACATCCATAATTATAAAGTATAGATATCCTAAATCGTTTTCTCTATATCTTTGCAATCTGATATTTCAAACTTTAATTATTTTAACAGAATTCATGGTTCAAAATAAAATTAGGTTGATAAGGAATAGAAAACTGGACTTTAAGGAAACTGATCAGTTCCTTATTGCTTATTACGATGAAGAACAAAGTGTGACAGAAAAAAATCATGGATTTCCTAAAAATTTGTTTTTGTGAATAAGCATAGTTTTTTTCTCTTGCTTTTCATTAAATTTTTTTCTATTAACCCAGTTCTTTATTTTTCAGGCTAAAGTTATTCCTTCCATGAATTGTAAATCTTTTCGTAAAATGACTAAAAATTAATGTAAGTTTTATAATTCCCCGAATTTCTCTTTAGTTCTACTCTTGTTGATATTATTTTATACGAATCTAATCGACACACACCACATTCTTGCAAGTTAAACTGACATTTCCAAACTTAATAAGATTTTTTTTCTTCTGAAAACAGGTTTTTCAAACTTTGTAGTAAATACCGTACTCTTAAAAGTTCGTCACAAACCGTATCAGTCCAGGCTCAACCCATCCGCTATCCAAGTCAACCAGGGCACAGCCCACCTGGCTCTAAATGCCACAAAGGGAAACAAGCATAACTATCAACCAAGCAATTTCTCAGACTCTAAATGCCACACAGGGACACAAGTGTAGCTATCAACCAAGCTATTTCTCAGGCTCTAAATGCCACACAGGAACACAAGCGTAGCTATCAACCAAGCTATTTCTCAGACTTTAAATGCCACACAGAGACACAAGCATAGCTATCAAACAATCTATTACTCAAACTCTAAATGCCACAATGGGACACAAGCATTTGCTACTTATCAAGCCCTTAATCGATCTCTACCCTATAACGAGGTATGATTTCAAACCGGTTTATATGTTTCATGTGAAAGTTAATAGACATAATTACAATTCCTACGTCGTTATCTATATCACATGATTAAGGTAATCATATTACGTAGTACAGCACAGTTGAAATAGGGGCATTTAAGATTTGCGTATTTATAGGATACGCGAGGATAGATATAACATAGTTAAGCTATCTTCACACATCTTTACAAGTTCAATGCACTTATTAAAAAGGGTTTAAGCTAACCATGCTACGTATTCATTTGAAACGCAGTTCAAATGAATAATGGGGTTTTACGTAGAAGTTTACAAACATAGAAAATAAATAATGTACAATGTACTGTAAATTATACCGAATATCATGTGACCCGATATTTATTACATAGTATATTCATCAATAAAAGTTTACAATTTTATACTAATACTCTTTTCTTTGGTTATCGCATTTTATGATTGACAGGGTTTGCCAAAAAACAGGTGCCAGACAAGACTTTTATCATGAGTATAGTTTAGTTATTCAGAGGTGGTTTTCAGAAATGGGGTTTCTTGGTCCCAGTCTAGCATTTTTTGTTTTCTAAAAATGTGGTATGATGACAGCACTGCAAGGCTTGATAGATTATCGCACATTGCTTTGAAACTAACACTTGCAGAGTAATAATTTTGTCTCCATTTAGATTAAATCCACAATCATTCTTACTCTGTGGAAATTCAATGATTGGATTGAAAACCATCAGAAATATGATGGGACTAAGCGGGTCATCTTGAAATACTCCTCTTTTAAAGGGGAATCCATCAGTTGTCCGTAAATACACGGGAAAGTTGGTTGTTATACAGGGTGTTGATATAAAGCTGAATTTCTGCAGGAACATTAAACCTTTTGAGGGTATGTATGATGAGAGGGTGCGGCACTGAACCAAATGCATCTTCTAAATCGAAAAATCATTACATGAATCGTTTTCTTGTTTGTCTTTACTTGGCTTATAATCTCTTCAAGGACGACATTATGCTCAATAATGCCATTATTGCCCGGCAGAAAGGCCTTCTGTACTTTCTCATCAATGTAATTATTTACTGTTAAAAACTTGGTCAGTCTTTTGCAGAAAGAGAAAGATATGGTAAGTTTTTGTAATGGAAGATGTAAGGTCATGCGAAAGTTTCCTGGGTTATTTGTCGGTCCTTTCTTTTTTAGTAATTTGACCACGCTGTGTAACCAGGAAGGGGGAGGAGATCCAAGAACATTCACTTTATTATACAGGGTGGCTAAAATGTGGTGGAGACACTTGAATTTGAATAATATCTCATACGGGATACCATCAGGACCTTGAGAGGATTTTAGATTTGCACTTTTTAATATATTTGTTACATCCTTTGGGCGTTGGGGCTCACAAATGAATGGCTCAAAATTTGGAGATTAATGGGTTTTTGACACAAAGGGAAACCAGTTTAAACTGTTCAAGTCTATGTTACCGGGTGTGCTGGGTGACACAATTTAAAATAAATTATGAGAAATAAGATATTTCAGAAAAAAAACAGTTTCACTGTTCTTTAAACGCTCAAGGCAATATCTATCCTGAGCGAAAACTTTAGAATGGTGGATATCGAGATCAATGCTTGATCTCCTCTTTTTCTAAATCTCGAGTTTAAATATTGCTTGTTCTTCTCTTGTTATTAATCTCCAGATTAATCAACCGATCGGGATTAAGGATATCTAATTATAAAGTTTTCAGCTCTGGAAAAACGAAGTCTTTTCAACTTTTATTATTTTAGTTTCGTGAGAGTTTACGAGATCTTCTAGGGCTCCCTGAGTCTGCTGGAGGAGCACTAGTTGCCCCTGGTCCTCAAGGGGAAGAAGATAGAGGTAGAACACAAGCACATCACAGGTTGGTTTAGATACAGGGTTACCCCCTAGATACAATAGATATAATATATATAACTAGCTGTTGCCCGTGAAATTTTGAAAAAAATATCTTTTGTTTTCAAAATAAAAAATAATTCGATTTTTGAAAAAAAACATCGAATTTTTTTATATCCCCATGTTATCCCAGCTTTATCTACATATATATATATATATATATATATATATATGAGCGAAGATATATGATAAAACAAGACATTCTTATATATATGGGTTGCGTATAGCCGGCCAAATGGCTGGACCGATTCGGCTGAAATATTTTATGGACACTCATGGGTGGCTGGGACGGGGGTTATGGATTTCTTTTATAACATGGATAATTTCTCATACTTGTGTGTCAAATCTAAAGTAATCTAAAGTACGAGGTCACAAAGTTCACCTTCTCCTCCTCCATGTCCAGTTTAGTATGAACAATAAACATCACGTAGTTTCCAGCTCATATATGTAAATTAAGGGAACACGACACCCTGTTAAATATTTGTAGATTGTTTATATTCATTTAGAAATATTTCCTAAACAAATATTTTAGATGATAAATTAACCAGACAACATATTTTGCAATCTTGCCTCTCAAAACTAACCTCATGTCAGTCTATAGTTTTCCTAGTGTACATCACAAGTATCTAGTGTGGAGGGGGGGGGGGAAGCCACGTTGTATTGTAAACATAATGGTAAAAAAACGGCAACATGCTGTCACCGGCCAGCAAGGGCGTTTTGAGGAATTTATCCATGGGCGCTAATTTTCTTTCCATGGGGCTGAGCAACCATCGCCCCCCCCCCCTGAAGACGCTCAAACTTTCTACCCCTATATCTTTGCAACCTTATGGAGTAAACCTTTGATATTTTTATCTTTGATTATTTGATCTAACAGAATTCATAGTTTGAAATATCTAAGGTCCATTACATTACATTGAAAAGATAAAGGGATTATAAAATCAGAGTTTGTGGCAAAGACTCAATTTATTAACAGAACAGAGACTATCTGGGAGAAATTGTCCGTATAGCGTGAACACTGGATATGATGTAAGAGTTTGCAAATACCTGAAGAGATGCAAATATAACATATATGGACAAATATTCGTATTTTAAATATAACTGTTTCTAAATATTTAGGTGGAGAAAATTAATGAATTTCCTTTAATCATAAATTAATCGAAATAACAGATTTACGATTCAAGATTTAAGAGTTTTTTGTTCACAATAACCATGAGGAAGAAGCCCAAAGTAGTTAAGCGCAGTCGGCGTAGAATTACAAGACAGAGAGAGCCCGTTCTACTTCGACTGCGCTTAACTCCTTCGGGCTTCGGAACTAGTGTCGAAACCTGGTTTCCCGAATGGGGTAAAATAGAAATCAAAACATTTTTAAAGAAATGTTATTTTGTATTTTTAGTTGATTTTTACGTTTTCTCTCTATTTTCTACTTCTTGATGTAAATCTACACAAATGTATAAATATATATATATATATATATTTCAGTTTTTAACTTCACATTTTTTATTAAAAAAGAATTAAACATAATGTTTCACGCCTATCATGACGATCCTCAGTAGTTACAATTCTTTAAACAACAATATATATATATATATACCCCAGAAAGGAAACCCGGGAGTTTCGTCCAACGATACTCCTCTAAATTTTAAACTATTTAAATTGAGCTGATTTTATAGCATGAAATCCACTACAAACTCTACAGAAGGAGAGGGTAATATGTATGCCATATTACTGGTACAACTTTGTGACCTCGTAGCTTCTCTAGTTTTCATTTAAATTACAAGTATGAGAAAACCGGTTACTATAAAAAATTGTTTGTCCTTCTCAATAGCTCCGTTGAGATAAGATGAGTTATGATTGAACACAAAAAAAGATTTGAATCTAACGTGCAATTCACTTTAGTTTAACGTAAAACGTGAGATCCTCTTTAACAAAGTTCGTAATATACTTACATGTAAAAAAATAAAGAACATTCCCTTAAAAGACAATTTAGAAGGATGAAAGATGAAATATTAAGTTCTATTCAAGCTTGGATGTTTGAAAAGTTTGAAATGCAAAAGCTTAAATTCTGAAATGATATTGCATATTTATTCAAACTTAAACTATTAAACTATTTTCTCTCTGAAGTTTACATATAATTACTATTTGAAGGTCATAAACCAGAGCTCTATAAAAACAGAGTATTCAATTCAAAGCCCTCTTTTAGATTTCATAGAAGTTAAACTGCACTTTAGAATTTGTAAATGGTGTGCAAAAGTTATACATTTATTCTTAATGTCTATAAAAGTTTTCTTAATTGAAACCTTTTAGGAATAAAAAAGTTTTGCCAGAACAGAAAAGTTAGAGAAAGATATAAAAAATTAAGATTAAAGGGACCGTATAGGCGTAATTTCAAGTAACCAACCATTCGTGGAGTAGCTTCTGCAGATTGAGAAAACTACACGATAAAACTTTAACTGATGAAGGATGACGGACTTTCCCTTGTTTCTCAGCAGAAACATTTGTAATTGTTGATATTTTTTTGAATTGAGTTCATACTGTACGCTAACGTACACTCCAGTTGTTCCGAAAGTTGCTTTGATTAAAAAATATTAATATTTTCTTTCCAGAAGTCGAAGAAAATTAATACTTCGCGTGGGACATAGACTATTAAGGATTTTCAAGTAACAATATGTATGCATCGTTAGCTGCGTTGAGTACGCTAGAGTACACTCCGGTTGTTCCGCAATTATAACTCCATTTTAGAGATAAACACACAGGTCACACATTGTCATTGAACTAAGGTATTTCACAGATGTTCATGCTTAAAATTATGCTAATAGTCCCTGTTGTGTTGTGGTGAATAGGGCGATTAAGACTTAAAAGGTTAAAATTATTTTATGGCTTTCTACAAACATTTTTATCGCAATGCAATTGTAAACCAGGAAATTTCTATCGTATCTCTTCATTTTTGTAAACTTTAGCAAGTTTTTATGTACTTGTATTTCACTTCAGAAAAGTGTACTGCATTTGGGGTGTTGAAATTATGTTATACAGAAAAAAACACTCCCTTGCAGTATACACGATGTGGTCTGTAGCTGTATAACTGTATTTTGTATGTCTGTAGCTGTATAACTGTATTTTGTATGGTTGTAGCTGTATAATTGTATTTTAAATATTACAAGGAAAAACGAAATTTTCTCTCAATAGGTGACATGTTTGCTAAGATAAAATAAAAAAGTGTAAAAACAGAAAATGAAGAACATGTAAAATTTAACTTATTTCATTGTAATATAAGCACTTAGTCTAAAATTATTCCTATTATTTTGTCGGACACAAAAACTGAATTGACACTTGTGACGTAAGAATACAGCTGTACTGAGAGTGTACAAATTCTTCGTCGCCATCTATTGTACTTGACAATCTATTTGCAATCTAAGTGACAAATATGATTGCCAAAACTTCCCTCGGGGCCTGTAAGTGTGAAAAGAAAATCAAGGTTCTTTACTGGTTTGTGGTCAACAAATTAAAGACAAATTTTAAAGAAAAAAACGTAAAAAAAGAAAGATTATGATTTTTTAAAACAGATTATATGGATTGTAACCATAATCAGGGGGATCAATTTTTACGATTTTTTGGCCTTAGTTAAAAATACATGGTGTGGTGACCCAAATAAAAAACAGGGATTTGCGGTTTAAAGTCCCAATAATATTTTGAAATTACTTGAAAAAGTGTTGTAAGTACTAAGTAGTATATAGTTTTTAATTTTAGAAGGGGTCGTTTAAGTAACATTTTTCCGTTTAGCGCTAAACTGTCAGATTTTTGAAAACCTATATATTAACTTTAAACAATTAACAATTTTTACTATTCTCTTCAAATCTATATTGCAGAGATAAAACATTTTAACAATGCTTAGAAATCATAATAATGAATACTTATTTAGGTTACTATAATGTTTATATCTCAAATTATTTTATATTTCCGATTTGATGCCATGCAAAAAAATTTCCAAGGTCCATCAAAGCTATTTCAGAAATGGGACAGGGGTTTCTGCAACCTATTTTTTTAGTTTCTCTTTATATAAAATTCTGGGTATAGAACTACGTAAAAGCGTTAGATTTCAGAAAGCCCAGAAGAGGAATTTAAGGGGGTTCAGATAGATGAAAATTAATTTTTTTGTCCCTTAAAGAGAGTGACCGGCTATGTAAGGTAGTTCAACTGAGGACGCAGTGTTGTGGAAAACTTCTTTAGGATTCATTCGAGACATATTACACTTTTTAAAAATCTGTAAATCCTGAGTTTGAGCGCAAATTCGACGTTCAAAACTCCTGATTTGGGGGTGGATACGCTTTCAGAATTAGTTTTTTTAAATTATTAATTAACGACGACATAAAATGTAAAAATATTTTACAATTAACTACAGACGCCATGTATAGGAACATCTTGAGAAAATAAAAATTAATCTTATCATCGAAAATAAGTAATCTTGTTCAATTATTAGTTTCTATTATCTCATTACTCTAGTTTCTCGTTATTCACAAAGATGTTCGCAGATTTTCTATAATTATTATTGAAAAGACGACATTTAAAGAATTTGAAGAAATCTGCGAATAAATTCAAAGAAAATTAGAAATTCAATAAAATAATGAAAACGAAATAATCGACTTTAGCATTGATTTATTGACAAATTTTTTTTATGAAATATGTTCCTAGCCATCTAATTAGATTACTCTATAATTTTTACTTTATTTTTCGTTGTCGTTATTTAATAATTTAAAAAAACTAATTCTGAAAACGTATCCACCCCCAAATCAGGAGTTTTGAACGGCGAATTTGCGCTCAAACTCAGGATTTACAGATCTTTAAAAAGTGAAATATGTCTCAAATGAATCCTAAAGAAGTTTTCGACAACACTGCATACTCAGTCCAACTACCTTACATAGCCGGTCACTCCCTTTAAGCAATATTAATTAGCTGAAGTTACCAGAGCGATTT